GGCGGTGCCGCCCCATTTCAAGAAGGGGAGGGAGAAGTTGTGGAGAGGCTGGGACTTGACCGGAGGAGGCGCCGGTGCGGTGGCCATTCCCTCGAGCTTAGTTGCTAAACGGCGTCGTAGGGAATGAGAAGAGAAGAGAAGAGAAGAGAAGAGGGTGCGTTGGTCTGGTCTGGTCTGGTCTGCTCTGGTATGGGAAACTAAACTAGAGTTGCTTCTTTTCTTGCATTCGCTGCTTAAATTCTAATGCCTTTTCTTCTTCGCATTTTTACCCTTCGCCTTTCTCCTTATTCTCCTTCTCTTCCTTTTCCTTCAAACCAACGACGCTCCTCCCCCCCACTATGTTGTTTCATGGCATGGGATCGACTATCCTTTACTAATCAAACAATTTCCTCTTTTATAAATTCCTTTTTATCCACACATAATTAACCTACTTCTTTTTAACATGCTTTCTTTCACATAAAAGTTTTTCGTTATTTTTAAACAATCATCTACATTTTATTAGAAGAAAACAAATATGTTGTTCTTGATACTTCTTTTATCCAAAATTACTTTTTTTAATTCTTTTTCTCAAATTCACGTATTGTTTTATCTACTTATAATTTTTAATCCTTATTTTTCTTTTTCTGAGTTCAACTTGTTAAATCATTGTAAACTAAACTTTCTCATATGTTGTTGTATCGAAAAAAGTAAAAATAAACTCTCATCTTCAAAATTATCGGTCAAAGTCAAAAACATCATACTTTTTTTAGAATTAAAAAAATTATAAATATTCTTATCTCTCACTTAGCCGAATCGTTTACTTTTGAACCTTCTTTTAACACCTATTTTGAGCCTTTTCAAAATACTTAATATCTCAAGTTCATCATTAGATGAAAAATAAAAGACATAAATATGCTTTTTTTTTTTAAATGTGTTTTTGATTTTAGTTTCTGTAAAAAGAAATCCTTGTTTTTTATCTCTCAAATTTAAAAAAATTTATTTTAGCCTTTAAAAAAATTAGTATATTTTGATTTTAATCTTTATAAAATATTTTTCTTTAATTTTCATCTCTCTAAAATTTAAAGTCATTATTTTTAGTTCTTAAATCTTAATATTATTTTTAAGTAAATAAATAACATTTGTTTTAAAGATTTATAAAATATTTAGAGATGTTATATACTAATACTATCAAATATAGGAGTTAATTACCTATATACTGCTAGGGTAAAATTTTTTTACACTAGCAACCAATTATATTTTTTAATTATGTCATGTCACTATAAACACATTTACTTTTAACAGTAACATATCACAATTAAAAGATATAATTGGTTGCCAGTGTAAAAAAACTTTACACTGACAGTATATAGGTGATTAACTCCAAATATAGTTGTGAGTGTGATGAGGAATGATTACATTATAGGAGAGATTACAAACAAAAAAATTTAATTTAGAGGGATAAAAAACAGAAATTTTTTTAGTGAAACCAAAGTAAAAATAAATAAATCATTTTCTAAGAACTAAAAATATATTTAAACAAAAATAAATTTGAAAATTTTAAGTAACAAAAAAAACTATTTGTCTCTTAACTTTTTAACATAAAAATAAAATAAAAATTAATGAAATATTTTTTTTTTAGTGAATTGAAGGGGCTAAAAAACCCAAAAAAAAAAAAACCAATTAAAATCACGAGGGAAAGAAGTTGAGGTAAAACAACATAAAAAAATTGCAAGTTGTTAATGAAAGACATTCTAAAACAAGTTAAGTTATCTTTGCGCAGAATATGAAATCATTTTAAACGACCACCAACAATCACAAACGACTTAATACTCTGAACCATTTGAGCACAAAGATGATAAAAATTACAACTATTCCTAAGAAGCGTAATAACAATCAAAGAATATGTCTCAACAATAAAATTTCTAAAATCTCTATTTCAAACAATATTGATTCCAATATAGATTGCCCAAAATTCACCATGTAAGATAAGACGAAAATCAATACTATACTAAATGCAAAGGAAATCATTCTCCTAAATATAATGAAATAGATAGTTATTAAAAGACTGTAAGGATAGTTTTTGTTGCAATGTGAAATGTGAAAGAAGAAATTAGTTATCAAATAACTCATCATTTTCTAATAGTAATTAAAAGATGTAATGATTTAATAGAAAATGAAGAAGTTACAAGAGTATTTCATTTGTATGATGATGTAAATAATAAAAATTTGAAAAGATATTTTATATAAAAAAAAATATTGAAGAATCGAAAGTACATAAGTATCCCAATAAACTGACCGAAAATTTTATCAACCTTCAACACAATATTCAATATATAAACCGTCTAATATATATTACAAACACGATTTTTTTTTTCTTTCAGTTTCTCAAAACAAAATCTGTTTAATTAAACAATTTTTATAAGCTTTGGTATTTAAAAAATGATGGTTTCCCTAACACGCTAACTTGTTTCATATAATTTAAAAAACCATAATATGTTGTGTCAAAGATAATTATCCTGTTTATATATTTTTGGAATTCACATTATTGTTGATTGGTCTTATTTGTGCGTTTGGATGTCCTATGCGTTGGGCTTTTGTACAGTTATGGGTTGGTATGTGATTAATGCAAAGGCATGTCTGCTAGTTGAGTTTGATTTAGGGTATTCAAATTGTTAATTTTCTTATTCTTAGTGTTCAAAGATTTAATTTTCTTAGAACGGGTACTTGTGAGGACAAAATTTAAGTATACTTCATTATGTATTATTCTTTAATCAAAATTATCCGTTAATTTGAAATAATGAAATGAAGTATTAAATAATTTTCAAATTTTCTAAAAATTTGTAGACTTGATTTATGCATTAAGAACTTTAAATTAAATGGTTGGATCGTTGAAATTTGATATAGAACATGAGTTATTGAACGAAAAAAGTCTAGGTAGACTTACTCCTGGAATAAACGGATCCCTCTTTTAGTAGATTTTTCTACCTTAATAATTTAGTCTTAATCCCTTTTGTAAATCAAAGTTGAGGCTAATGGATATCACTGAAGCCTTTCAATATAGGCATGATGGTCACCCTAGCCCTTATAGGAGCCCTGACCCTAATAAGATCACAAAACGTGGCCCTGATGGAAGGCCACCACCACAGGATTGCTTGCACTGGTGCATGCCTGGCCCTGTTGATACCTGGAATGAACTTGTGTTTGAAATCATTAGGAGAGAATATAAAGGTGGAAGGGCATCATGAGATTTGTTTATTTTTTTACTATCAAGGTCTATGTTGTGCTTGTCCACTCAATTGGGTATGACTTGTGTAGAAATATGATTGTTTGAGAAGGGGTAAAAGATAGTAGCCAACTTGAATCTTTTCATAGCATATTTATTAATTATAGAGATTTTTTTTTAAAGATTGGGATGATAATATGTTAGGTTATTCCACAACCATCAAAAGTCATTTGTACTACTACATGATCCTATACAAGTTTTGATATTAAATATCACCTTATATTGTTTCTTGCATTTGCGTGTTATCAAGGAACACAACAGAAAACTCATACATCAAAATAGAAAATATTCATATTTTACATGTTCCTAGAAGCATGCATCAGGCAAGGAATTAGGGGTTAATCCTGCTACCCAACAATTATTCCTACACCTCCAAGCGAAGTTTCTCACTCACCCCTTACCTTGATGAGCATAAGATGAAGCACGAGTAGAATCAGGTTGGTTCTCTTCTTCAGGTTCTCCTTGGTCTTTAGAAGCGTAGAAAGAAATGAGTCAAGAAGAAGTGAATACGTGAACTGACTTGGTAACCTCTCTTAATCCTTTTTTTCTTAATTAATAAAATAAATATTAATAATAAATATCAAAAGACCTCCACGTCCCTCCTTCCATTCTCATAAAAAATAATAATATTAATATTAATATTAAACATACCTTCTCCCTTTTATAAGATAACTTAAACATAATTATTAATAATAAAATATATTCATAAAAATAACTCCTGCTCCACTAATTAAACAAAATATAATTGCAAATCGTGTCACATAATTAAAATAGAGCTCATATAACTAATTAATTAATATTTAAAACTAAAATAAATACATTAATCGTGAAAACAATTTCTAAAATAGTATTTATTATAAGATATGAAATTCATGATGTTACATGATCACTATTTTTGATACTTGATCTTGTTTCCTTGTCATTTGTTCCTTGAAACCCTGATGCAGAAAAATTATAATGTGAATGTTTACATAAAAAAGTATTAATTGAATAAAAAAGAACAAAGAGTCTTCATATATAAAGATAAGTCATCATAAAGAAAATGACAAATTTAAAACATATTTAAAGTTAAACATGACTAACCAAAACTAATGTTAGTATTTTATATTAATCATAAACATTGGGATTAATGTGTATATTACTTAGTCTTGCCTCATTATCATTTGTTCGTTAAAACCTTAGTGATAAACTATAATTTCATGATTATATTAAAAAAAATGAAGTGTTCATATATAAAGATAATCACAAAGAAAACCCAAAATTTTAAACATATAAAAAATTATACATGACTAACCATGACCAATGTGACCAATATTTGTA